AAAGTGAGATATGAAATAAAAGTGAAAGGAAGAGAAAGAGTATTTAAATTGTTCCCTTGCCAGGATGTTGTTGTTTATTGATTATTGTTCCCTTGCCGGGATGTTGTTGTTTATTGATTATTTTCCCTTGCCGGGACGTTGAGGTTATTGATGTTGTGCCCTTGCCGAGATTTAATTGTTTAATTGTGTTCCCTTGCCGGGATTTCTTTTATTATTTTGTTCATTCCTTTGCCCCCTTGTTTGTGATTGTTGTTTGGGTGAGGAAAAGTGTTAAAGCACGAAGGGTGATGTCGTGCATTGTTTGTTCATTGTGAGGAAAGAGTGTAAAGCACGAAGGGTGATGCCGTGCATTGTTTGCTTATGGTGAGGAAAGAGAGAGTAAAGCACGAAGGGTGATGCCGTGCCGCATGATGTACCATTCCGTGCCGATTCTATTGATTATATGTGAGGAAAGAGAGTAAAAGCACGAAGGTTGATGCCGTGCACATTTTATTATATCATTGTTTGGTGAGGATGAGAGTAAAAGCACGAAGGGCGATGTCGTGCACTTGTTGCTTTCTGTCTCTTTATTAATGTCTGATTTGTATTTCCCCTTAGCATGCTCCCCCCCCCCCCTTCCCATATTGATTTCTTGTCTCTGTATTTCGATTCCGCTGTACATGTATATATAACTGTGCAGGTTTATATGGTAGTCCGGTCTAGCCTCGTCACTACTTCGCCGGGGTTAGGCTAGGCACCTACCAGCACATGGGGTCGGTTGTGCTGATACTACACTCTGTGCTATTTTGCACAGATCCAGGTTTCGGACAGCAGCAGCAGTAGTGTGGGAGCAGGCCTTCAGTCCAGCGAGACATCGAGGTAGCCCTGCAGGCGTCCGCAGGCCCGACGTCTCTTCTATCCTTTATTTTAGTCTGTTATCTCATTGTATTCGAGACAAACAGTTTATTTTCTCTTTCAGACGATTGTATTTAGTATTCTTAGTAGTTCGTGAGTATTGTGACACCAGTCTTGCGTAGAGGCTTATGTTGAAATTTCCGCATTTTTTGTTCAGTTTTCTATAATTTAAGACTTCCGCTTATTATTTAATTTCGTGGCTTTTATATTATTGCTGATAATTGCTAAAAGAAGTAAATTGCTTAATGGTAAATGTAATTAAGGGTTGGCTTGCCTAGCTCTCATTAGTAGGCGCCATCACGACTCCCGAGGGTAGAAAATCCGGATCGTGACAGGAGGTAACCACACTATTAGCTAGTGATAGTTCAAAATATTCTAATTTAATTTGTGATTGCAGGCACCTCCTCACGAAGCTCCATGATCCATTAGTTCGACATTCGTACAGGGAACAAAATGGGGTAGCGAACCAACTTGCAAAGGTAGGAAGTAGGATGCAACTTGCTGATATGTTGCAAATTTTTGTTAGACCACCACCTTTGGTAGCAAATTAGCTGCTGGCAGACCAAATGGGCACAACAACTTAACGCATGGTACCTATATCAGATGCGCAAAATCAAGCAAGCAACACATGTTTTGTTATTAACCATGTACCTACTGAGATTGTTGCATTGTTTTGAAAATAGTAGGAAAACGACAACCTCTACTAGTATAGAGGATCGCCAGTGTGACAACTTTAGGGGCGATACCTTACTTAGATATGATAATGTAGCTACTACTAGTATATGTAATGGCGCACGCGCACCACACCCCCTATACGTATCTTTTAATATATGTAAGTTATCTTTTGCAAAAAAAAAAGTGTATGGTTGTCGTTGTGTGTGAGGTCCATGATATTCTTTAAGCCTGAGCTCCTAAAATGAAGTTTACTATTGGTGACAAGTCATCACACCCATGTGATGATCCATGTGATTACAAAAAGGCCAATGAAGAAAGCAAAAGCAAAAGCAAAGAATGAAAAACAATAGAAATAAAGGGAAAAGTGGGGAGAAATACTAGTAAAAATGAGAAAATGATAGGAGCTGCATGCCAACTGCATGCATGACGTTGCACAGGATTGTTTCCCCACTGCCTATATAAAAGGAGGCATTGGCTGCCTCATTTAGAAGGAATCCTATCCACTGAGGATCTTTCTGCTGGATTGAAGAGATGTAATCCACAGAGCAGGATATTCTTTCCGTAAAAAAGAGAGCAAGTTGTATACGCATTCAAGATTTCAAATTTATGGGTTCTGTATTTAACTTGCATGGGTTCTAAAGTTTATTGTATATATAAAATGAATTTTTCAATACACACATATAAATATATATATATATATAGAGGGAGAAAATAATAGAGTTTGGACCAAAATTATTGGATTTTACTGAAATCATACTTTCCATGCAAAATCTGCACGTTGTCAAATTTTGAACGGGTAAAAGTCAGAGTAATTATTAACCAAAAGTTTGACGGAGGGCAAAATTGTTCAATTGCTGATAGTACAGGGGGCAAGTTGCACTGTGCCCAGTAAGTCTAAATTCCAAACAACAACTTGTTTGGAGTAGGCTGAGATATGAAGAGGAATATAGCTGACTGGAAAGCAGAAATCAATTGGGCTAGAAAAAATACAGGCAGAGACTCCATTGCTATCTATGTGTTTGCTATGCTAGTGTACATCATATGGCGTGAACGAAAACTTAATTACAAAGCTTGGATCAATTTCCTTAATTAATGTACTTGTTTTGTACTTGTAGAACAATCTTCTGTAGCTGGTTTTTGAGTTTAGATCCGAGAGTTAGCATATACTGAATTTGTATTTTCATATTCACATGTAGTCTAGGAATGACATTCAGGGGCGGAGCCTGTACTTCGGTTACGGGTTTGGCCGAACTCAGTAGCTTTGGTCCAAACTTTATATTTGTCTTAAAAATTCATCGAATAGGCATAAATTATTAAGTTAGAGCCCAGTAACTTAAAAAACTAGAATCCTGAACCCATAAACTTCAAATCCTGGCTCCGCCACTGATGACATTATAATTAGGATAGCTAGTTGGTCAGCAACTATTTGGGACTGTAAAGATGATTTTTTATTAATAGAAATTACCTCTTAATCAAAAAAAAAAATAATAATAATAGGTGACAATGAAACTTAAACTCACAACCTTTTTGCCTATTCTAATAGTACTATATTAAAATTTGTGCGACTTTATAGTATCTAAACACTTAAACATATGGACGATGTACACTTAATTTAGTTAATTATTCCTTTAACAAGAAGAATGTTCTTGTGAAGCTTGGATCATCAAGATTAAGCTTAAAACTATATGGTCCTTTTCTTATATATATTTATATGTTTAACAAGATTAATAATAGCCTTTGGCCAAGCTTTTTTTTTTAGGCCAAAAGTGCTTTTTTCGGTCTTTGGCCAAAAATTGAGGTGTTTGGCCAAGCTTTTAGAAGGAAAAAAGTGTTTTTGAGGAGAATCACAAGTTGTTTTTGAGAAGCAGAAAAATATAGCTTCTCTCCAAAAAAATTTTTTTGAGAAGCACTTTCGAGAAAAATACACTTAGAAGCAGTTTTCAAAAGCTTGGTCAAACACTAAGTACTGCTCAAAAGTTTTTTTATATTAATTAGCTGTTACAAACTGCTTTTCACCAAAAGCACTTTCTTGAAAAAGTACTTTTGAAAAAAGCACTTCTCAAAATAAACTGATTTTAAAAAGTTTGGCCAAAGAGGCTATAAGTCATGTGCTTTTAAGCCCAAATAAGCTAAAAGCTAGTTAGGCAATTCCATTTATTTTTAGCTTAAAAGCTACTTATTTGGGATTGACCAAGTGCTTTACATTATTGTCCCTTAAACTTTTTCTATAATCCCTAATGTACCCTTAACTACATAAAATCCCTAGCTTCAATCTTTGTCGTGCCATTATGCTTTTTCTAGCGTACACCCAAACATCATCCTCTTCATCTATTTTTCCTTTCATTTCTTTTTTTTAACCTTTCATTCATTATCTTCCCCATTGATGCTCTCTTCCCCGTCACTCTCCTCAATGTAATGTCAGGCAATTGATGCAACAGAAAGATTTGAAAGTTGGAGCCATTCAGATATATTTAATTTATATTAGACAATTTGACCTACAAAGACAATAACTACTTTTATCAAAAAATAGAAACTTGTACCTAGCGTAAACTGATCGACAACACTTAGCTAATATTTTCTTGTTGAAGTAAAAATCGAGGCCTGCAATATCGTTGGCCCTTAAATCTTAATGGCTGTCATTGAGCAAGTGTTAATTTATTATTATGTTCATTGGCCATAGTGGTAAACTATTATTATTATTATTATTATTATTATTATTATTATTATTATTATTATTATTATTATTATTACAAATAATATTATCTAATCCTTGAGAACTTAACGAGAACTAGACATAAATTAATTTGTATATGAATCAATTTAGCATTAACTGTAGCTTTAAGGATATTTCAATCACTTTAACACAAAAAAGTGCTTATAGTATCACTTGTTTACCAAACATTTTAATAGCTTTTTTTCAGCCTCTTAAAAGCCACTTTTTTTAAGTCAATTCAAATGGACTCTGTCTGTAATTTTATGTTCACTTTCACAGAAAACTGACAAGATAAGTGAAACTCCTTATACTCTCCTTGTGTCTGTTTTTTAGGTCTCAAAATGACTAATTTATAACATAAGAATTGCTGCTTCTATTTTCTATGCTAAATGGAACTCCTTAAGATACCCTCTGTAATAACGTACAATGAAATTCCAATTAATTTTTTTTTCTCGTTTTTGTTTTAGTAGTATGAATCATAACCACTTCCATTTTTCCTTGTCTCATACAATTCTTAGCACATTACTAGAAGTATGAAATTTCTATTCAATATGCTCCAGTAGATTTTGCTATGTATTATGAGTATAAAGGTGTTGTTTTAAGAAAAGGTTAGCAAGACAAAGAACATTTTTTTTACTGTTTTTCCAAATAATCTTGTTGTTTTAAGAATGCTTATTCCCTTCTCAATAGGTAACACAACATATTAATAATTAAAATATCAGCTCATAAAACTAGTACCAAATGTTCCATAATCTTCAATTTCTTCATAAGTACATATATATATATATATCTTTATATAATGAACCTTCCATGACAATGCAAAGGGAAGTCCTATTAAATTACAACAACAAATCAAATAAATTAATGAATTAACAAATACTACTAGTAGTTGACATTTGCAAAAATAACCATTTTTTACTTAGACTTGAAAAGGCTGCCAATGCTTGATGTTTTCCTCATCTTGAACCTTAGAACTACTCTTCATTGCAACATTTCCATTGCCCTCAACATAAGCATAGTATTTCAAGAAAAATGCAAGAGTGAGAACTACCCATTCAAGGCAAAAGATGAGTGCACATAATCCACCAGCCAATCTCAAAATCACCGCGGCATCTTCTTCCCTCACATAAGACTTCAAATTCCCAAGAAAATCCCCCGTTTTCGTGAAAATCAACACGAAAACAGAGCCTTGAAATATTGCAGTTAGAACAGTAGATACCATGTGAGCTCCATATGATTTTCCAGCACCTGAGGTAGCTGACACGGTGGCGCAGCCAAAGACTGCGCCACCAATAGTTAGAATATGGAGGAGAATGAAGAAGAATCCACAAAGGGAAGGAATTAATCGGAGCGAAAGAGTCAAGAAAATGCAGCTAGAAGCTGCACCAAGAAGAATGTAGTTAACAAAGAGGAAGATTTTGTGAGTGCGGTGATGGGATCCAGTTGAATCTGAGTAGTTGTTGAATCCCATTTTCCTTTTTCCTCAAAATTCGGGTTTTTTGATGATTTCTTGAGATATTTTGGCAAATGGGGTTGATAATTTGATGCAGAGAAGTGAAGTGAGGAGAATACAGAGAAGTATTTTGTATATATAGGGTGGTTTTTTGAGGATACGAAGAGGTTTTAACGGTCATATTTGAAATCTGAGGTTGATGGGAATAAGACCGTTGGGATAAGGGAAAATATACAAAATTGTTGGCGGTGTAACGGCTATTGACTATGTAGGATCCACTTCTATATTTTTCCTTTATTTTATTTTCACCTTTTTGTTTTTTCTTTTTACTTAGGGCAGCAGGTGATTTGGGAAATGTGTTTTTGCATCAGATTAAAAAATATAAAAAAAGGTGACTTGTGACACAATTTTTTATCATTTAATTGTGGCTAATTCATGGTATGTATTATCATTTCATTTGTGACTCTTAATAACAGGTGTCGTTTACACAACTTTGTCATTTAATTTTTTTTAAACTTTATCATCTAATCATGATTAGAAGGAGAGCCTTGGTGTAACTGGTAAAGTTGATGCCATGTGACCAGGAAGTCACGGGTTCAAGCCGTAGCAACAGCCTCTTGAGAAATGCAGGGTAAGACTGCGTACAATAGACTCTTATGAACCGGCCCTTCCCCGGACACCGCGCATCGGGAGCTCAATGCACCGGGCTACCTTTTTTTCCCATCTAGTCATGATTAATTCATATGCATCATCTCTTTCACTTGTGACTCTCATGGTTATTTCACATGGTTTATTGCGAGATGCAAATTAGTTTTTTTTTTTTTTAAAACATCAAGTAGTAGCATAAACTTCTAAAGTTCGTTTTTAAAATATTATTTTTGCATGCATAAGTATCATATATCATTACTGCAAGAATGCAGTGCGCATGATGCTATATTTTCTGAATCTCTACCAACGTTATTCTCAGTATCATCATTATAGTTGATACACCTCTGCATTTAGTCATTTGAACAACAAACAGACAAAATTTGCTCTAGAAGTAATTCTTTATACTTCAATCAACAAAACTTGTTATGCATTTTGACATTACATAGCACGTCAAGTATACTAAGTAGAATCACTATCTGTGCTGGTAGGACGTAATAGGTACCGGTGCAATAATTGAGGTATGCACAGGCTGAAAAATGAAAACATGAGACCCTGCTTTTTGTCATTCTTTTTCAAATGTGCTCTACAATGTTTTAGTGAAAACCTCTGACTTCTAAACTATGCTGCTATCCTACAAAATATCACGAATGTGACCATTTCAGTAGTGCAGGTAAAACCAATTATCTGCATCTTCATCAACTTGAACTCTTCTGTACCCATTCTCTATAGTCAAAATTTATAACAAAAAAGAAAGTTTTCTCATGCCATTTTGCTTTTAATTTGCCCATGGATATGTACCAGAAAGTCGACATATGCAAGCCCGAGTGATGTCTTGTCTTCTACCATGTTGGAGAAAAACAACATACCTGAATAGAGATTTTCCAAACATAAGAAAACAATTGGAGATGACTAAAGATGAATAACACAATCAACAAAATATATCAAACACAATACTTTGAGCTTCCTGCATTCCGTACCAATCTGACATATGTAAAAATCTTTCGGTAAAAATGAGTTTCCGGAAATGCAGTTTAAGCAGTGCCTTTTTAACCCTGATGGCTAAGTAACATAAAATAAAATCTAGGTTTGAGAATATCTGGAGGCTAATTCGTCATTGTATGATCTCATATGATGTATCTGTGCATCCAAGGGTAAGACGGTGCAAAATTGACTTGATCAAAAGGGACGAAAATCTATGTAGATCATCCACATGATACGGTCATTCCACCGAATTCCCCTTCTTTCAGACCTATCCTAAGCCTCATTTTAACTGGAGGCGGTGTGAGAGGATAAATATGGGTTAATGTATTACAAACCTGATGAATCTCCTTTTCTGCATATTTTTAAGCTGGCAAGATCAAATAAAAAACACATCAGAAATATGGCATACGAAGTGATAACATAGACTAATCACATGAATGCCCGCTCTGATTTACAAGTAATCAAATTTAAATAACAAACCATCTCCCAAAATAACAGAAGTGAAAAAAGGGCATGCATGCAGAAAACGAAACATCATACCGGAGGTAGTTACACCTTTGGCTTCTAATATCATTAATGATATCATTGAGCTTCTTAGAGAGTGGATTGTCATACTGCTGCAGAACAAACTACAGAAAAAACAGAGGCAATGTGTCAGATTTGATAGACTGATAATCGCTTTTATTACATTTAGGTAATCATTTTGGTCCACCAAGGGAGAAAAGTCTGCCGTTATTGGTCCATAAGGAGCTTAATGCATTATGAGGAAAATAAGTTACGAGAACAAGTAAAGACACTCAGCTGCTATCCATCTCGGACCTATGGAGGAGAAACCAACTAGACCAGCCTTACTTTCTAGATGGAAAATGTTATGGTATGGAATTGCACAGAATCGAACACTCAAATTGGGAGAAGTTTCGGCTGCATGACTTCATCCTTCAATTTCCATAACCAACGGAACATGTCAAACATATATAGTACCAGGGGCGGCTAAAGCCTAAAGCAGCTAAAGCAAGTGCTTTAGGCCCCAAAATTTTGGGGGCCCCAATTTTTCATGTCAATATATATAAAAATTGTTATAATTTAAATTGGTATTATGTGACGTGGTTAATTCTTGTACAAAAGCTATATACATTTTTAGAACAGTACAACGTATATATCCACTATTTTCTTTTTCTAATAAGCGATGAAATATTTTACAAGAAAGTGTATCCAAGCTAACTCTTAAATCATTGCCTCAAACATGTCAGAAAGTCATATCAAAAGTATTAAAGCATAAAATTTCAAGCTCCACAAATATGAGATATTTATGAAATGAGTAGAAGCTTGTTAGGATCCAAAAATTAAAAATTACGCTATTTGTTCAACATATGAGCTTGAAATTTTTGAGTTTTTATTAGGTATGACTATTTGGTATAATATACTGATTGCGGCTAGTTCAGTTAACAAAAGTTTACCATCAAAATATATGTATATTGATGTTGCCAATAGACGTTAAGAGGTCTGGTTTTTTTTCTCCCCTAAAAATATAGAGAAAAATAATTTGCAACTTTGAATGTGCATCTTGAGATACGTAGACTATGTGAAAAAAAATTGCCTTTAACGTTTGACTCTTTTATGAAGGCGTATATTGCTTATAGAGTAATTTTAACAATTCATGTAATGGTTTAATTTCCTCAGCGAAAAGAAGAAAATTAAAATTGTAGAATCTTACCTAAGATAAAAAATGATTCAAGCGAGATTAAATAGACTAATTGTATTATTAATGGAAAAGGAATTATTTATGACTTTGCGCATCTACAAAAGGTAGAATGATCACTTTTTTTTAAGGCCTCTCATTATAGTTTGACTTTAGGCCCCCAATCTTCTTGACCCGCCCCTGTATAGTACAAATAGTTTGACCAGAAGGCATTAACAAAGAAAATACATATTTAATGTACCTTTCTCAGGCTCCTATATTAAAACGATAATACATATTTTACCTCAACATTAATTTATGATAATGTTACATCTTAATAGTGAAGATACGTCAAATTACCTGTGCAGGAACTTCTTCAAAAGATGAAATGCCCAGAAGTTGACGCATAACACCAGGATCTGCAGAGTTTCCAACATAAATTAAACAGTCCTCGCCATTCTCCAGAAGATAGATACCGTTGTCACTAATCTGTTCACTGGAAAGTGGAATAGGAGGAGGAATAATAGATTCCTCTCCCTCCTGCAAGTCCAGAACAAAGTAAGATGTTAGAAATGAAAATGGAAAATAAATCTTGAATGAATCAAGAATGAATTAACAGTGAAAACTTGTGGAAAAGCAAAAAAGCAAAGGAAATACATACGGTCCATAAATACAAGAATAATCCATACCTCTATATTGTTTTCATGAATGGCTATCAATCTAGGGTGTACCCAAGGGATAGCCAATGGAACAGACAGTGGGGAAACATAATTAATCCAGAAGGACCTATTATCAATCAGTCCATCAGTTCGCAATCCAGTGCTTTTAACCAGAGCTGAATATCAGGAGGATTTGTGTGAGTAGATTCATTTAATATTATTATACTTCTTTCGAGAATGTCTTTGCAGCAGCAAAGGTAACCATGCTCAACAGCTCAAGATGTAAGAAAACATAAAAAAGTATGTACAAGCTAAATGTGCATATTGATAAAATAAGATAACTCTTCACTGTGTCCAACTAAAAGTAATCATTACCTTTGTCAGTTGCCACCATTAAAATTAGCTACAACTACAAGTAGTATAACGTCAATATCAAAAGAGTTGGGGTCGGCTATATGAATCCTCACTGACCATGTTCCCATTTGAATTCATCTCAAGCTAACATTACAACAACAACAACAACAAATCCTGTGATCCCACAAGTGGGGTCTGGAAATGGTGGAGTATACGCAGACCTTACCCCTACCTTGTGTGAGGTATAGAGGTTGTTTCTGATAGACCCTCGGCTCAAGAAAAGCATTTTCAGAACAAGTTCAAAAGATAAAAGAGTAAAAAAGCGAAGATGAGATCACTGAACAAAAGAAAAGTATTGACAACAACAATAATAAAGATAACAAAAAAACAATAATAGTCAAAAAATTAAAGAATAAGACAATAATTAAATAATATTAATAATATTGATAAGGAGAAGCGGGAGCAGATAAGGTGTTTTAAACTAGAACCATGCTCTCCTACAGAAAAGAGAGAACTCGCTCGACCACCTACTAACCGTGTACACTAATCCTTGACCTCCATGCTCTCTTATCTATGGTCATGTCCTCGGCGAGTTGAAGATGTGCCATGTCCTGTTATTCTTCCTCGGTCTACCTCTACCTCTCCTTTGACTTATCACTACCAACCTCTTGCACCTCCTCACTGGTGCATTTTCGGTCCTCCTCTTCACATGCCCGACCATCTCAGCCTCGCTTCCCGCATCTTGTCCACCACGAAGGCCAATCCCACCTTGTCCTGTATATCTTTGCTCCTGATCTTATTCTCCTAGTATGCCCA